CTCTGGTGAGCACATACCCCCTACAGCAATCAGTCATGCACCCCAGGAAGATGGAGCTCACGCCCCACAGGATCATGGACTCTACTCACACAGACCCTGGTGTTGGCCGAAACCCACCGACGGGTGATCTGCTCACGGTGTCGTGTCTCTTAGTGACCAGGAAGGACAGACTGCAGACTTGGGATAACTCTCGTCTAAGTACGGTGAGGCCAGGCATGGGAGCACGCCCTGTGGTCCCCCAATGTGGCCTGCTAGAGCAGCCCTGGTGAGACGATGGGCAGAGGTCGGCCCTCAGCCCAGAAGGGCCCAGGTCACACTCTATCTCGCTCTAGGGATGCTTACACAGGTGCACAGTCAGCAAATTGCAGCAAAACAAAGCCATGTGTCACTCAAAGACAAGAATGTGCTGTGAGAAACGCGTCCTTAGGTGGCTGCACAGTGGAGCACCACGGTGTGCTTGCACACACCTGGCCAGCCAGCTGGCACAGCCCGGGGCTCATCGGGGAGCCGCAGTGGTGGACGGATCTACCACTGACCGACGCGTCCTTACGCGCCTAAGTGCATGAATTGTACTGCATGCAAATTAAACTCAATAAAGTCGATGTTTAACAACTACGTTTTAAAAGAACACACAGGAATAGGGAATCGTTCTGCAGTGTATTTTCCAGCTTTTCTTTCATGCATATTTACACATTCACAAACATCAAGGATTACTCATTTCCTCAGGGTAAGACTGACAGCATGTTTTTCTGTGTGCTTTTCTATGTTTTCTAGACCTTATTACAACAACATGGATTTCTTTTGTAGGAAGAAAAGAGTGTGCGTGTGAGTGTGTTTTAAATTTTCTATAGGGTGCATGTGCTAGCCAGAGAGACAAAGGAAGTGAGAAAGCACCCTCTCACCGAAATCACTTCTCCGTTTTCCTCTTGAGATTTTGGGCACACATGCACATGTGCCTGGTGGTTTTGAAGCCTCTGGGTCAGGACTCGAACCACACTGTCGGCCATGTGGGATCCAGGCCAACCAGCTGACCCTGCATAAATCCAGCAGAGACCTGCCCAGAAGCTCACTGCCAGCCTCAGAGCCTCCCAGGTGGAGGTTGGTGGGAAGAAGGGGGTCCTACAAAGGAGGAGCCTGGGCAGTGGCCCCAACACCAGTCCTTGGACCCTCCCCCCAACAGATGGAGCCACGAACATACCCGAAGCTCCCCCCAAAGAACAAGTGTGGTCAATTTCGGGGCACTCAGTACAGCTAGGGGAGCAACGCAGACGGCATCCTAGTCCTTTCTCAAGTTCGATGCTCGACCCACTTTGAAGCCTCCCTCCCACCGAGGTTTCCTGTTTTCAGTCTGCCCTACTTCCGACCAGGCTGGCCACAGAAAGCGTTTGCCGTCTCAGCTTCCTCAGGCACCCGCCTCCTGCGCCCAGAAAACCGCCCCTTTGCGTCACTCGTCCTCGTCTTTTTCTTCAACACTCGGTCACTTTCCCATGAGCCATGGCCCAGGAGGAAACGTGGGGTACACAGCAGGTCCCCACCACGCACCCGTGCCCCTGCGAGCAATCCATCCACGGATTCCAGTTTCACGCCCGAGGACAGCAATGGCACAGTGGAGAAAGTGGAGGACACACAGGTGACTAAGGGGCCACCTTGCTCAGCCCTGTCCTTCCTCCCCTGTCACTAGGAGCCCCCATTGCTCCCTCTGCTTCGCCTCACAGGTCCTCGAGAGTCTGGTTTTGCATAATCTGCTGACATTCCCCCACCCAGTCCATCCAGGTGCATCTGGGCACACCTGGGGACACAGTGGGATCTGGGTAGCGCCCCCTGCTGACCGCTAAACATCTTGTGAACTGGATCAGGCTTTCCCCTCTGATGGTCTCTCCGACCCCTATTGGCCTCAGCATAACTAATCACACGGGGCCTGATTCCCTCCAGGGGCTGCACAGTTACAGAAATCCCGGAGTGGGTGCGGCCGCACTTCTGCACCGGGAACCCAGCCTGGCCTGCGCTGGAGGAGCAGGCAGCTTCCTGCGGAGCTCAGCAGCCAGGCCGTGGCCCTGAGACCTCTCCAGAAGGACCTCTGGGCACACTGGGGGCGGCCCTGGATGAACCTCCACAGGAGTGCCAGTCTTCCAAGGGAGAGAGTGGGCAGTCACGGGGGGGTGGGAGTGGGCAGCCACAGGAGGAGTGGGCACTGCTTGTCAGGAAGCACACGCCAAAGCAGACGTCGCTATCACACCACACCCAGAGCACGGTGCCCAGAAACCTCAACAGCAGCCGCTGAGGACGTGACGCTGCGAACAGACGAGTGACTTCGCACGGCGGGGCCTGCCTGGCGTGGGCACAGCCTCTAGAGCCTGAAGGAGGCCCTCCTGCCTGGTGATTCCAAGCCCAGCAACTGGAGTTGCACCCACCAAGCCTCAAACTCAGTGGCCAAGAGTTGGGCTCAGGCCATGAAGTGGCATGGAGGCTAAGGTGCTGGAGGCTTGAGAATCACCCTGTGTGTGTGCCCAAAACCCTGAGAGGGGAGTGGAGGAGAAGGAACTGCAGCGTGGCCATCCCCCTGGAGGTTGGTTTCTCACTTCTGGGCACACTGGGGGCGGCCCTGGATGAACCTCCACAGGAGTGCCAGTCTTCCAAGGGAGAGAGTGGGCAGTCACGGGGGGGTGGGAGTGGGCAGCCACAGGAGGAGTGGGCACTGCTTGTCAGGAAGCACACGCCAAAGCAGACGTCGCTATCACACCACACCCAGAGCACGGTGCCCAGAAACCTCAACAGCAGCCGCTGAGGACGTGACGCTGCGAACAGACGAGTGACTTCGCACGGCGGGGCCTGCCTGGCGTGGGCACAGCCTCTAGAGCCTGAAGGAGGCCCTCCTGCCTGGTGATTCCAAGCCCAGCAACTGGAGTTGCACCCACCAAGCCTCAAACTCAGTGGCCAAGAGTTGGGCTCAGGCCATGAAGTGGCATGGAGGCTAAGGTGCTGGAGGCTTGAGAATCACCCTGTGTGTGTGCCCAAAACCCTGAGAGGGGAGTGGAGGAGAAGGAACTGCAGCGTGGCCATCCCCCTGGAGGTTGGTTTCTCACTTTCCCTCTCTCTCTGTCTCTCTCTAGTGAGCGTACGCGCCCTACAGGAGAAAACCCAAAGAGCTGGGCTCCTCTTCCTCCCTAAGGTAGGGGGAGCCACAGCACAGCAGCGCAGCACGGCCACAGTACGGACAGTGCGCCTAAAAGGGCTGTCTCGGGGCCAGGCAGTGGCACACGTGACACAGCTAGACCCACATGTCGTGGTCCTGGGCTCACATGCCAAGACATCTCTGTCCACACTGGACAGGCCTGCGACACGGGGGTGGGTCTTGGTGTGGGGACCCTGCTCCGGGCACACCTCCCTCTCTCTCCCTCTCTCCCCCTCTCTCGCTCTCTGTTTTTAAAATGACAGCCTTGGCCTTGCGTTAGAGGAAAGCTCGGTCTCCCAGGCCCCAAGCCAGGCATCTGCTTGCCCCTTGAGGCCCCCAAGAGGTGGTACCAGGAGGCCAGCGGTGACAAGAGGCGAGACTTTCTCCCCAGGGGGCATCAGAGAAACCTCAGAGGCTGCAGAGAAGCTCTCTGAAGATGCTGCTACCCCAAGGGTGGAAACCGAGTACTGGGTCGCGGATGGATCGGAGGTCATCCTTGACCTTGACCTTGGCCCCACCCCCTCGCCTGCAGAGCTTCCCAACTCCGAGTCAGAAAGCGTCCCAAGCACCCCACAAGTGCTCACAAGGAGTCTAAGAAGCGTCTTGGGCCACCAGAGCATCCTGACCTCTGTCACGCCCACCCCTTATAATTACAGAGAAACAAACAGGCAGCAGACATGGCAGTGTGAGGGCTCCAGGGGTCCACGGACCCCCAAAGGCCTGGCCAGAGGCCTCCCGCTTGCACTTCCTTGTCCCTCTTGCCTGTCTACTCCCAGAAGTCACAGGGAGCCCCTGACTGTTCAGCGGGGAAAACCCTGCCCACTCCCAGCCCACCCACCGTAAGGGGCAGTGCCTCGGGCCAGTCCAGGCCTGTCTCCCTCCGTTCCTGCCACACTGGCCTCCTGGTGGCCTGAGGGCCCTGGAACCTGCTGTCCCTCCAGGTCCCTCGTCACAGGGCCGAGTAGAGCACTGCTCAGTCACCTGCCCACCCTGCACAGCAGGACCCCGCACCCCATGGCTTCCTCATGCCCAGCTCCTAGGACACACCTGTCCCTGTGTGTCCCCTCCACCTCCCCGTTAGTGGGACAGGCTCCACTGCAGCAGAGACTGTGTCTACAATGACAGGGTGGGACACTGGCCACCCCCAGGGGGCACTTGCCAAGAGGTGTGAATGAAACTGAGGACAGGGAGTCTTGCCAGCCTGGAACCCCCTCCCCCACCTCCCCTTCCTCACTACCCAAACACCCTGCTCTCCCACAGTCCAGGTGTCCCTGTCCCATTCCACCAGGAGGACCAGAACCCCCAGGCAGAAGCCTTTCTGTGTTTATCTAACTGCACCTCCAAATCTGTGGGCCTGAGGTCATGTGGCCACCCTGCTGCACCCACACCTCCCCATTGGGGAGCACTCCCCAACAGGTCAGGTGCCCCTCTAACTTCTTGACAACAGGAAGTGCTCCCCCCAGCCCCGCAAGGTGCCTCTAGTGGCTGGGTCCCTGCCAAACGGAGAAAAGCATCCGTCCTTGAGCTACACTGAAACAGGGGGCCTGCACCCCTCGGGATCCGTCCCTAATTAGTTTCTCAGAACCGGCCCTGCTCATGGTTTGAGAGATGTCCTGGCATGCAGGCGACAGCCCAGGCCCAGACTTCACGCCCCTCCTCGCAGGGCGCCGCAGCCCTTCCCCTCCGGCACTCCCCAGAGCCCTTTGTCGCCTTCCCAGCGCCGGCCGCTTCCCCTCCAGCTGCCCCGCCGCGGCCCGCCCTGCTGGCCTCCAGCCCCGGCCTCCCAGCCACGCCACCCCTGCCCAGGTCCCGGCACCCCGACACTCACCCGCGCCGGGGACGCCGGCATCGGGCCCCGGGCTCCGCCACCAGCGCAGCAGCGCCCGCGCGGGCTCCAGGCTCACAGCGCAGCGCCGCTGCTTCACCCACAGCACCGAGCGCAGCGGCTCCGCCGCC